ATCTCATTAATTCACTAGAAGAAGAGTTTTGAATCTCTATCTAGTGAATTAATGAGATAGCGACCCCTTATCTCATTAATTCACTAGAAGAAGAACAAGATTTCTCTATCTAGTGAATTAATGAGATAGCGACCCCTTATCTCATTAATTCACTAGAAGAAGATTTCTGAATCTCTATCTAGTGAATTAATGCGATAGCGACCCCTTATCTCATTAATTCACTAGAAGAAGATTTCTGAATCTCTATCTAGTGAATTAATGAGATAGCGACCCCTTATCTCATTAATTCACTAGAAGAAGAGTTCTGATTCTCTATCTAGTGAATTAATGAGATAGCGACCCCTTATCTCATTAATTCACTAGAAGAAGAGTTCTGAATCTCTATCTAGTGAATTAATGAGATAGCGACCCCTTATCTCATTAATTCACTAGAAGAATGCGATTCCTGATTTCTCTTCTTGTAGCGAAATAATGTGATATGCTTCATACAACCGTTATCACGTCTGAAAGTAGTTATCACGGGTTTATGCTGAAATTGTTTTTTGAATTAAAAAAATGAGATAAATAGCTGAAGCTCTATAAGTCATCTATACCATATCTTCTTATCATATAAATACTGGAACAAAACCTTCTCTGGGGGATAATGTCCAGGTGCAAAGCTAGGTGCGACCGGTGGTGGTGCTAGAAACAGAGCGAAAATATCTGTACGTGAAAAAGTAGAAAAAGTGCTGACCGTCTTAGCATGTAAATGGTTCACTTGGGTATGAAAAGGCCCATTTGTCGGACCAGTCCCATTTTGATCGTCAGTATGGATGTGGATGTGGCTATGTCTGTAGGTGTATATTAGTCTTATTTCAGCATTGGTTGGTATACAGATAGACAGACACCAGAAGTACTTGTACAGCTCCGATTGTATCTGTACTACCTTCTCTCTCTTCTGTCTCAATCTCTCATATATATATGTCTATAATCTATTTATGTAATATGTTTATGATGGCACATAGAATGTCGAGCAAAAAATATAATGAATAGCAGGTCTAAGAAAGTAATTAATATCAAGCCCTGATTTAAATTAAAAGTAATATCGAACACATACATAGCGTTATTTAAAGCTACCCCATTGGTCTCCAAACTTACCGTAGCTATCTTTCGAATCGACATGTTATTCATTGCCATTGTTTACCATCTCCTCTTTTGATGTTCCCCTTTGGTTTTTATATATTTCCCGGTAGTTACATTTCTGCCACAAGGCAGGAGAACTCATATCTGCGCTACTTCAAAGGCCTCCCTAAGGCAAACTACAGTCGTTATAAGAACTCGTCTTTTGTTAACAACTTGAGAGGTACATCTGGTGTGTGAACGTTATGTCTCCCCGTAGCGAAAAACTGGTGATCCCGAGTGTGGGTTTAAGTCCGGAACCCCAGATGTGACTCCTTGGAACATTAACAGTGCACTTAGGCTACAACGATTCATTTTGTTGTTTCGTTTGGTTTGAAAAGGTCTAATTCTAGAATACACTTGTGGTGCTGCTGCAAACAAGGACACATCGTCAGTGATGTACCTGGGATCATCGGGTGTTTTGGGTCTTTCAACATCAGACACCCTCCTCCAGGCGACCTAGCCGGGGTGATCTGTCCCCGACTTGTGTCCAAGTAGCATTGTTCCATAAATCCCCCAACGGAACCACAGCCATCTTATAAGGCTCTTTCTGTCGCCTGAGATGTAGCCAAACGTTTTGTACGGTGGCTACATCTGTGTGAGACCGGACTGTTTCCGTAATGTTTGAACCACTCAAACCGCGGGAGGGTTTTTTTGTGGTGCTGTTTCTTTAACAATTCGTGTACTTGAGGTGTGGCTCTCCTCAAACTCGTGGCCTCCTTTTACGTCTCATCTAAGGCGACGTCCCTTGCCGACGCTAGATATTTCATTTATGTTGAGTAAGAACAACACGATGGTAAAGAACTGAGAGGGGAACTTGCAACTGGATCTGAATCTGTGTGTTACAAGAAACTCTGAAATTTCCGCTTTCTTCTTTTCATGTCAATCTTCCAATTTAGCAAACTTTTCTACAAACAAAATCCGAGGGCCGGCAACTTGTTTTGTTATGGCCCAACGGAAATGCACATCATCGCTGCAGGCTGTTTAAACATTCAACGCTTTCTAACAGGTTCTAAAGCAGCGAAGCACTGGCACTTATGGAAATCTATGGCGAAATCAAGGACCGAATTATGCACGCGTTTAACAGCCCAGTAGAAGGACTGACGCAGCAAAACAAGACGGTAGGGTTTCGCATTTATATTAATAATAAATGCTGCGGCAATGTCGAGCCTAATTAAGTTTCTCCCCCGAAGGACTTGGACGTGATGTTGAGACGCCTTGTTGAGAGAGGAGAGGCATTGACGAACGTTATACCGAAGGACGAAGTGACAGGCAAACATATTACCGTGATACTTTAAAGCGTTGGAAAGCAAACTGTTCTCCAACTGAAAAAGTAAATTAAAGTTAAAGGTTCAACCCAAACTCACAACTAAAAGGTCTCCTTGATAAGCTTTCATACAATCAACATCCGCCATCTTTCTTCAGTTATGAACTTCTGAAGGACATTCATGTGACCTGAAAGCCAAAGGTCATCAAGGATCATAAGGCGCATGAACTCTTGAGTCACTAAGCGTACGATGGTACGACGAATGTTACCTGAACCTGATAATCAACGGATGCCAACTTGTGTCCTGGCAAATTTTGACCTTGATACCGTCTTCAGTCAAGGGAGGCGTTGTTGCCTGTAGTGGGCAGATCTAGTCCCATCCTCCGTGCTTGTACATCCGCTTCCTCCAATGTTAATCAAGCCGGGTCTTGAATTGGCCAACAGTTCTACTGGAAACCATACTCTCAGGAAGTGAATTTCTGTTGTTCATTGTCCCTGCACTACATACTTGTGCTCTCATTCTTGTTTTTACCAGAGACACTTTATGCTTGAGACTATGCCCTTGTTGTTTTCTCCTTGCCAGAAAGTCCTTGAGCTAGATTCTTGCTCTACCCCCAACTCCATACCGCTCTAATTTAGAAGTGTTAAATTTTTACTTCTTACTTCCATCGTTTGCATCGTATCCAATGAAGCATGGATAGGACATTAGATATATCTATACTCGAAGAAATCATTGTAAGCCGAAACGTTATACAGTCTCATGTCTTATAAAATACATGTTCAAAATTCTAACGGCGTTCTTCATATAACGTATGTCCATTTGTTGGACGTTATTGGTGCTCTGTTTTTAAAAGCTGGTATAGTGATGTTCCTAGTTTCATTTTATTACCTTCAAATCAAACCAACATCGTAATAGACTGCCCAGCTACCAATATATATCTAGCTCTTATATGAAATAAATATTCATACACAGAAGAGACAAGATAGGAACGCATTCATCGCTTGGTTATAAAGATTTTATTACAATTCCATCATACAATGTTGGTAAAATCAATACATAATGGAGAAAAAGGACACTACCGCATGAATATGGAGTTTCACTCTGCGATAAGTTACATGGTAAGCACATGTCGTAAAACATCGTGGATGGAACAGGACACAGATATAATGTCGTCTTTGTAATGACTACCCGGAAGTATTGTTTTTGGTGCGGTGTCTGCAGGCTTGTGTGTATGCTTGTCCGGACAAAGTAGGTTGATAGCACGTGGGTGAGGGAAGATTGGCAGGCAGAATTGTAGGAGGTCAAAAGTTCGGACACAGGAAATTGAAGTTTCCAGAATCTGACCGGGAGCCAGCAGGAGCTAGAACTTGACATATGGGGGAATTGAGGAACCTTCCAATAAATTTAAGAAAATCCAAAGTACTTCCCAAAGTCGAAATTTCAAATTTCTCGCATTTTACTGTTATGTTTCTCACCCACTGTGTGCATATAAAATAGAACACATCTCCATTGTCTCTTGAATTCGTTAATTTCGTTTGCAAGGAAAGGATATAACTAATTTTAGGGCCAAATCTTGGGCCGTGATTATCAAGACATTTTGGTTATAGCTACACAGAACGGAATGGACAAGAAAAAATATTTCCCTCTCTTTTTTTAATTTCGCAGGACTTTTCGGGCTTTTCATGACGTAAATGTTTCTACGTCCAACATGATACACATTATGAATCCTGTTAACTTAAATGCATATATCATGATCATATTATGATCTTAAAATTTAATAACATAATATATACCTAAATATATAGCTATAATAAATTTGGCGATACTGTGGTGTCTACTATGAAAAATATTGAGATTAAATTTAGCAAAAATAAACCGTAGATAATAGACGATATCATAATAATATTATAATAACGAAAGCCAGTAACATATAATGTATATAGCTATAAAAATACGGCGGTAATTTTGTGTTTGCTACCAGTATTTTGATTTGATTTGTCGAAAATTACAACAGTTCGCACTCCATACCCGAAAACCTGGTGACAAAAAAAAAAACGTTGAATGTGAGGTCACGTCATAGTTATGTGGGCACGTGATACGTCATCGATGACGTCGTTGTGACGAAACGCTGCGTTTGTAAAGCTTACTGTGTCTAGTGAGTTGTTGAGAATAGGGACAAACATGTAACGTTTACCGATGCTCGACATTAGATTCCGTTTTTCTTTATCCTACAAATGGGGCTTATAATGACAGGATGCTTCATTCGCTATCACACATGCACCGTGGAAGTAAATAAAAAAAGAAAACAAGATTGAGATAGAAAACATTGTCGGAAATATTTATCTTTGTTTAAGTACTGTACATTTTTTTTTCGAATTCTAATACTTTATACCCTGATTTATACAAAATTTTCTTGCAAGAACCGGAACTGTACTTCGTCTTGATGACAGGAGATTTCGCTCCTTTTATAGGGGTGTTCATTTTGGTCTTTTAGTAGCAGTACAATGTATTCATTTTGCGAAACACAGACAGGAATACAATAGTTCCAATTTACATTATTTTCATTTTTGTGACAAAATACGTGGCCAAAACTGAGCGAACTCACACGAAGTCGAAGTACAGTTCCTCAATAGAGTATCGCGCCGACATTGATACAGTCTTTGATACAAAGAGGTGTTTGCAACAAGTGGATACTTCATCATGTAGCGAGCACCCATCATTAAGAACAATCCTCTTTGATTCCCCCTTGCGGCCCTTACCCCTTTGCAAACCCCCACCCCCTCATCAGAGCCACGTACTCGACTCCCCCTCTCCCTCACCGTTCTCAGTGGACGGGTTGGATATCGTGCAACCCCCGTCCTCTCTGCAGTGATCGGGCGGCGCGAACGTAACGCATTTCGGTATGTGGTTCGGTATATGGTCCAACTCCCTCTCTGGGGGAATGATGACGCTGAGTTTATTCGTCTGCGTGCAGATATCGTTCATGGGAATCAGCTTGTCCAAGTTGTACGCGTGGTCGTTCTCGTAGGTTAAATCCTTGGTGAGCTTGCGGATTTTTCTCCGCCTCTTCCACCCCCTAACACACAGCAGTAGCAAACAAAAAATCATGAAAGTGCCTAGCATCGTAGCCACGTTGCTGCCTATAAGAGCCAGCGTTGTTTTTAAATCCTCGTGTGGATCCTTCAGACTATCCGGGCGGATCATAGTAGGGGTGGGAGGGGCGGGAGTCGTAGTCCTTACCCGCTCTCCCAAGGGTTGCATAGGTTTGCCTCGCGTGGTGCTGTCGCAGTCAGTTGTGGTCTCCTCCCTTCGCGTTGTGGTATCCGTGGTGCTTATTTGCGGCGTTGTGACCTCTCGCTCTCTCTCGTTTACCTTCAGGTTAATGGTAACGTTCACGCTCCCGACTGGGTTAGACGCGTTGCACGTGTAGGAACCGCTGTCGAACTTCCTGGCGACCGTGATGTTTAAACCGTTGTCCTTACCGACAAAGACCCGATCTCCTGGGTTCACCACGTCCTGCCGGTAGCGCACGTTGTTGGACGTAATCCACGTTCCCGTCGGTGGGGGGAACCCGCTTGCGTTACACGGCAACACCGCGTTCGTCCACTCGTCCACGGTGATGTTAAAACTCTGCGTGTACATCCACGGTCGAACGCAGATAAAATCGTCGGGAGCGAGTTCCGCGAAATACTTGTCACTCAGCTCTTCGGGTGTGTTGCACTTGACTCGGAAAGCCATGTTGTTGTAAAAGAAGTGGTACTCCGACTCCGACCACTCTTTGAGCCAGCGGAGGTTGCAATCGCACCTCCAACGGTTCTCCCACAGCTCGATAATCTGTAGCGACGTCAGCGCCGAGAAAAGGTTCACTGGTAGCGTCTGTAACCTGTTATCCCGCATCTCCAGTATTTCCAACAGCCCCAGACCGCTAAAAGCACCTTCCTGTACAGTCTCCAGCTTCATGTGGTTCAGAATCAGGTGCTTCAGCTTGGTTAGATTTAAGAACGTGTTAGTCTCAATCACGTGGATGGGATTCCGCGAGAGATCCAGCTGTTCTAAGTTCGTGAGGTGCATCAGAGCTTTGATCGGCACCTCGTGGAGGTTACTCTCGGTAACCCACAGCTTGGTGAGGTTGCGGAACGTCAGGAAAGCCGTCGGGGCGATGTTAGTCACTGGTCCAATGTACAACTCGCTCAGATGCGGCAGGAACCTAAAGTGGTTGACGGTGATATTCCGTATGGGGTTATCCTGTAGATAGAGGATCTGAAGATTAGGCGTAAACCTGAAGGCTACACCCTGGATGGCTGAGAGGTTGTTCTGCTGTAGCTGTAGTTCCATCAGGCTGGTCAGTCCGAGCAGACTCGTCTCAGCAGCATAGTGAATCCGATTGCCATCAAGCCTCAACCAGCGGAGGTCGTTCAACTCCGCGAAACACTCGGCCGGTAGCTCCGTAATTTTGTTGGTCTGTAGGTACAATGATCGCAGCGTGCGCAGCCTTTGAATCGCCTGACATGGCACGCTCTCCAACTGGTTCGAATCCAAACCGAGAATCTTCAAATTCTCCAGACCCGCGAAGGCCAAGGGCGAGATGTACACGATCTTATTGCTGTTTAGATACAGATTCTGCAACTCGCGCAAATCCGAGAAACTGTTGGCAGGGACGGCCAGAATCACGTTGCTGTGTAGATTTAGTTCAACCAGACTCGTTAAACCCCTTAAAGACCTCCAAGGAACGTTCTCAAGCTTGTTGTAATAGAGATGCAATATCTGTAAACTGTTCATCCCATCGAAAGCGTCGGGGGAGATGTAGTCGATCTCATTGTTCGAAAGAAGAAGCTGTTCGAGCTTGTCATTGTTTCTAAAACTGGCGTCCAGAACCATCTGAATCTTGTTGTCATAGAGATAAAGTCTCTGCAAGTTGCTCAACCCTTTCAGTGCCTTCCTGGGCGCGGCGTCCAACTGGTTCCCAGGAAGCAGCAAAAACTTGAGGTTGGTGAGACCATTGAAGGCCCCAGGTTTGATATCGCTGATGGCGTTATACGAAAGATCCAGCGCTTCTAACCTAGCGACCGTCACGAATTGGTCGTTCGCCAGCTCTGTGAGTTTGTTCCTCTGTAGATACAGTCTCTCGCTCTCCGTAGGCAGGGGTTCAGGGATCTCTTGTAGGTTTTTGTTGCCGCAATCCACCTCGTTGATGGTGGAGCATGTACAGGGGGACGGGCAACTGGAGTTGGCAAAATTCCACACGGCAAAATGCAGCAGCAGGAGAGAGACGAGGATGACCTTACAAATTCCCATGTTTGTTGTCAGGTTGCTGTAACAGTTGTAGTAGTCTCAGTGTCGATACTTGCGTCTATTTCTTCTCATGCAACCTGGGTACACAAAGAGAGGGAAAAAGCAATCAGTTAGAATGCAATAACGCCGGTGGCATTCGGGAAAGTTCACAGGAAATTGTCTCATAAAAGAGGACAAATCAAATGTTATTGCGCCAACGGTACGTCAACGTCTATCTACATGCTTGCTACGTTGTACGCAGTCCGTATTGATGGTAACAACAATGGGATATGACACTGCAAGAACCATATTTTGATTGCGAGGAATGTTTGAAGGCGGCAAAATGTATTTGCCTCCGTGCGTGTTTCATCAACCAATATCGAGATAACAGCAATCTGCAATAACAGCGTTTCGTTCAGCACCAAGGACGGACCCAGAGTGAATTACCAACCCACGACGTGCGTGCATTATCGAGCGGAAAGTGTGTTGATCTAATCAGCAAATCAAAAAGGAAACTTTGGAAAGGCTTCTGGCGTAACCATCTAAAATGATCCAATGAAAATCAAGGAAAACAACACTTTTCTCGGTACTATATGCATGTGGATTATTGATCAAAATTAATGAAATTCAGCACCAAGGACAAGCAATGACGAAATTGCTAGCACACGAAATACGTTTATCATTGTGGAGAGTTCGATGGTCACTAATGTAGACTGGTGCATCGACCGGAAGTGTTTCTTGAAGCATTTGCAAGCTTCATGCATACCAAGTCATGCATGGTCAGTTCAGGTAAAAGTCTTTAGTTCAAGTTATGTTTACCTAAGGAAAACCTATTGTTTTGCTCTGTTTTTATTTTTCTGTTCCAAACACTGACTGATCAATGACCTGAACCAGACCGTCTGTCACCATGGTAACTGGCGTTGAGTTACATAATGTTGCAATTTTATGATAGGAGAGATTTAGACTCCTGTCACCATATATGTGAATGTGTTTGAGTAATAATTAACAGAGCAGACCACATGCGAAGGTAAACATTATGCACTTGCCTTGCAAATATTACCTTTCTAGTATTGGTAAATTTATTTAGTGCATGTTATTTTGAATGTTACCTGTAGCTGTACGGGTATGCAGAATAAGAATATATTTCAATCCCTGAATCGGTCTTCACCCATCTCTGCCTAAGTGAAGGTCTCGTGAGTATATATCTCAATTTGTGGCGTCCAGACGCGAAGCTCTGTGGACTTAGATTCAATTTTCCGAGGGAGGAAAAAGGGGGGCATTGAATCGATCCGAACCTCGAGATTACACAGAGTGCAAGGTGAAAGGTTTTCTCGGGAACTCACTTGGGTTGACTGGGCGGCACCAGTGGCCAATCTAACGCTTCTGTGCACCTACAAAGGAAGCTAACAACATTTATACCGCGAGGCGCCGTCGTGAGATCGATCAGGGTCTACATAAAAGTAGGAAACATTTGGACTCATTTAAATTCTGACAGGTGATATTTAACATTCCGTACAGAATCATATTTCTCAATGTTTTTTTAGTCAACCGTAAGGGAGTTTTTTATCTGGATTTTACATGCTATGAAAGATTTTTGTACTCTATGGTGTCATATCTTGATGTGTGAGGTCTTTCAGAAATTAATTTCATATGCCTCCTGTTAGAAATACTGTGAAACTTGTTTATTTAACACAGGCTTTATCCTGCTAAATTTTCTTGCAGTTAATTTCAGTGAAAAAAGAGCAAACACTGAGTTTCATACATAATGATACCTACACAGAAGTGGACCCTGTGCATTTACAGACAGATAAATGGCACCACTAAAGGTTCCAAAGATCTTTGTTAGTAGAAAATATTGAGCTGATTTCATCACACCACGGGGTTCCCTACAGAGACTGGTCTAATAGCAGCCTACCCACGACAGCCGCTACTTTGTGCATTATCTCTGATACAGTAGTGTTGTTCATCACTGTCCCAATGCCTTTTATCCCAAGCTTCCTATGCCCCATCGTTGGGCACACACTATCAGTTAGCCCAGCTTCGCAATAGACAGTGTTTACTGAGTGACCGCACTGTGGTCAAAATGTGTATGCTTGATGTCAACTCTTCATTTAATGGTTTGAATATACTGCATGATGTCGAAGTATGAATAAAAGGACAACAAAACACAAAAAATGTAAAAATGCGTGTTCTTTATCAATACAATTTATGGAGTTATTTGTACTAAGTTTGAAATCTATGTGTGCTGCACCCTGTGAATAAAAAAGACATGCATTTCTGTTGCGAAGATCTTGGAGAAAGCCCATAGTATATGAAAAGGATTTTTCTCCATGCCTATCATGAGATAAAGTTAAACCTACTAACCTGTTATAGATCATAGGTTTCCATACATTCTTGTTGATAAAGAGTTTAACACGAACATGTATAGGTTTTGTACCTTAAACCAGAACGCTGTGAATGAGGGGGTCAAAATGCTTCTTACTACCCCCTCCTGGGCTTTTGAAATAAGAAAATCTTACAGACAAAAATACCATCGTTGCATAATGTGAATACCCGCAGTTACCATTTTTCATGATCTTTGAGAATCCACGTCCTTACAAGTGCAAAGCACCTTTAAGGTGATTATGTTACACAGCTAGCAGAAAAGTTAAGCAAAATAAATGGGGACTCCTTCCTTCTTCAATATGGTAAAAGCTTCCAGATTACTTTGTAAAGACATAGGTCCCCCTACTGCCCAGTTCCCCGTATAAGCTTACAACTGCAAGACACCTGGGAGGGGATTATATTACAGAAGTTAAGCAAAATAAATGAGAACAACTTTCTTCTTCAATAGAAGCAGAACTTTCTATACTTGTTGACAAATCATACAGAAGTTGGAAAAGGCACAGAGGTCTCCCATCTAGTGACCGTGACTAGGTATCATCTTACAAGTACAACACACCTGCCAGGGATCATATTACAAAAGTTAAGAAAAAAAATGAGGCTCCTTGTTCTCCACATACACAACCCCTATCGTCCAATTCAGGAAGATTACAATTGTACATTCCCACAAGATTATCACGGTACTAAAGCAAAGTAACTGACGAGCGTTTATTCAACAGTTTTAAACTTGTCAAACTAGCAATTCGTGACAAAATCGGTTGAGGTACAGATCTTCAATTGCCAAATACTAGACTGAAGAAGTACAACACTTTAATTTCAAGATCATCACTTGTTTTCTCAACAGTTTGAAGTTGGCAAATATGACTGAAATCGATAAGGCACAGTTCAACCCATACTGCAAAATACAGAAGAAGAACGGTTTCTCAAGATCATCATGTAACACAGCTGGCCTCAAGTCACTTGTTTCTTCAACAGTTTGAAGATTACCAATTAATGTCAGATTTGTCAACTATTATGGCAAAGACACAGGTTCCCCATACTGCCCAATTTTAGAAGATTAGTACGAGACCTTACGATAATCACCTGCACAGTTGCAGCGCTTTCTTCTGCAATGGGCCAGAATTTTCCATACTAGTTGGCAAACCTGACAGAAGTAAAGACACAGGTTCCCTACAGCCCAGATGTAATACCCTTATCTGTCACTGTCAGGTTCCGTAGCTGCAGGTGTTATAGGTCAGCATCACGGGAACTTAACGGACGATCCACAGACCATATCGTTACACAAAATCTGCATGGATTGATTTCGCTAAGGTGAAGGTTAGCAGTGTTTAAAAGTGGTTTCGTTTCGATGTTTTTTTTTTGTCATGGTTTGAGTGATGTAGCTGTTTAAAAATATAAGTGAGCATGTTTTGTGTATCATCTGGCAAATGCAATTCGTTTGAATGCTGGAAAGGAAAATTTATACAAAATGTTAACAGAAAAAATACCACAAAGCAAATATTGCGTTTGCTGTGTGTGCATGGATTTCTTTATTGGGATTGCGATGCATGTCTGTCACATTGAACAAAAGTTGAAAGAAAATAATTGCCCATTTAAAAATTACTTGTGACTTTTGAGCCACCAAGTCAGTTGATGCAAACATTCAACAACACACCTCTCTCGTGCCCAAAAAAAGGCTTGACCTTACGGCAACTTTATGATTTAACCACCAGGAGTTACAGCACCAGACGTTAAATCTATGCCTTGTGTCATATTTTACATTCCTTGCACAGAACAGCAGTGTCATGCAATTTGTGCAAGGTTGTATAAAAAGTAGCGAAAAGCAAGCAAATACCGTGTTTCCAAAACTCTGCGAGTAAAATAATACTCTAATAAAAAAGACGTATTTCTGTCACATTAATCAAATCTTGAACAACAGTTTTTGCTCATCAAAGCTGACTTGTGACTTTGAGCTGCTAAGTTCCTGCTCTAATAGTCAGTAGATGCAAACATATAGATGCGAAAAAGGCTTGACCCGACGGCAACTTTATGATTTAACCACCAGGAGTTACAGCATCCAGACGGCAAATCTATGCCTTGTGTCATATTTTACATTCCGAGCAGCGAACAGCAGTGTCAGGCGTGACCGTAAACATGACATTGACAGATCAGCGGGTTGTTTTAAGTCAAACAGACTAAAAGGCTGTCAGGCGAGGGTCGCCGAGAGTCAGCGGGTTCTGATGGGAGACTGATGCCGACTGCTGTTCGGCAGGCGAGTCTGGTGCAGAATTAATGTTAACGGGACTGTATGGAATCAGTAAGTGGTGGTTAGAATTTTTCCACCGTAGATTGCTGACAACACTGGAACTGAACAGTCAGAAATTTAGTTAACTCCAATTCTTGTGTTAGAAATGCAACTTTGGATTTTTTTGCAACACAAAGGAACTTCAATGCAAAATAAATCCTCTTTAAAATGACAGGGAAACATCCTTCTTTTCATATATTAGTCAAAATGCATCGAATGAATCTCTTGATATTTAAACGCAAGAATTGCAAATATATCCTCAATTCCCATGTCAACAACAGGCACATTCCAAAGAGACTAACCTTCACCTAATAAACTGAGTCCCTAACAAGAGCAATAACAGGCTGATACAAACATACTGCTGTGTTAGCTATGCAGGTCCCTTGGCTGTTAAGCTACAATTTATGAAGAACATCTCGGCAGGAAACAAGT